ATCGCGCCAACGGCCCGACCGAGAGGCTGCAGTCCGTCTGCATGCACTTCAGGCGCATGAAGAAGGTGATGTCCACCTCTAAAAAATGTATGCGGGTTTAGAATGCAGCATTTAGGGTTCAGGATCTTCGAAGGCAGCCACACTGACCCTTGGCCGCCTCCACACCACCTCCGGGTGGCTTGATCGTCAAGCTGTTCTCAGAGCACTTGAGGTAGGAGTTCGAGACCCGACAGTAGGAATGGGAGGATGAAGGGTTCGTGTCGTACTCGAGCAGGCTACTGGACCACGGAAGCACTGCCTTCTCAGGGTCCGCAACAAATCTAGAGCCTCAATCTCTCACCTCCAAGGCGGCCTGGTGGGGTCCGGGTCGAACCAAAAAGGAAGAGCTTCTCAGCGCGGCTCTCCAGTTTTGGAATAAGCAAAGGGGCGTTTTGGGAGGAACCTTGTTTCGACAAAACCGTAAGCTTCTGGAAGAACATGCTGACCAAAGCCGCGAGGGTATTTGGGCTGCAAGCATGTGAGAGCCATGCCGGAGTGCATGGTGCTGTGCTGCAATTGCGGCTGATACACAAAGGAGCACTTGCCCAACGGGTTTTGGGCCCACTCGGAGGCCTCAGCCATTGATCGATTTTCGATCGCCTCGGATCAGCTGCTCATCCACTGGTACTACAGCTGAACCTCCAAACTGCTGGTAGGCCTGCAGAAAATAATCAGCCTGGAATGTCGTGGCTTTTGCCTAGCAGACCCACCCCCCACTTGTAGCATTTTCCAGATCTTGTTTGGCTTGTTCGACTGTTTCCGTTGCCTTTGCAATACGCTCCGCCAGTGCTTGCGTAGGCTCAAAGTCAAGCCTCATGTTCTCCTTTGTCATCTCTCTGTACCTTCCTGGAGATCCTCTAGCTTTTTTCGAGAGCAGCCTGAATGACCTTCGTGAGGGTGTTTCCAGCGCATTTTGGCACGCTCGCATGCTTTTTGAAAGCGGTGACTCGAGGACTGCTTTGGGCAACTTGCCAAAGACCTTGCCGTGCACTTTGGAAGGTTCAATGCGTGAGGGCACCGCGAGCTTCGGCAGACCGGGTGTCCCATGTCGCGTGCGCAGGGCCTGCTTTCTCGCTTGGGGCTACAGCACTGTGGACCCTCCACCAAAGTCAGCCTCTCCTGGGGTGGCAACACCTGCTCGACTATGGAGCGACACGGTGCAACACTTGTGGAAGTTACACCTACGCGCATCGATGTAACTGCTGGAACGCGACCAACAAGGCTTGGTGCGGCAACGGCTTCATTGAGTCCCAGGTAATTTAGCGAGAGCGGAATGCATTCCAAAGTGAGAACACGTACGTAGAGACGCCCGTGAAGCCAGAGCTGTGGCACAAGTATCAGGCAGGGCGGTCCAAGCAGACCACTCGAAATCGTGAAGAGTACAATTGTCCTGGAGTTCAGACACGCTCGAATATCAACGCAGCCGAGAACGTGGTCTCGATCTAGGGCGTGTCAGTGGTCTCCAAAGCCTCCGCGATCCGTGTTCAGGATGTCAGTTACCCTGGAGGCGGATGGCACCTACTTCAACTTCAACCGGGACGACATCCACCGGCATGAAGGCCAGACTAACGTCCACCTCACAGTAGACGCTCAGTAAAAATCATATCTCCCATGAAAAATCTCGTGAACCTGGCCCCAAATTCTACAAAGGCCGCAAACACTCCACCCGGAACTCTTCCCCGAACGTTGAGGGGGGAGAGCCGAGCTGGGACATGACGGCCGGAGCCTGTGGGAGGCACTTGGAGCTGCTTGGAGCTTTAGGGTTTAAGGCACCATCTGCACAACTAGAGGAAATTTTGTGTTTAGGGTCTCCCAACTATCAGCTTTTTTTCATGATCCCAAGGAGGGCACCTTCCCGCCCGAAACAAGTTCTCAAGTTTGTGGATCAGGCGGATGTCTGGATCTTTTCCAAGGCACTCGGGCTCCGAGTTCAGCGGTCACGGTCGCAGAGAGACCGGACAAGCAGGTGGTAACTTGAAAGTGGGGACCTGCTTCTCATGGACTCCCAGCAGCTGGGCTTAGCAACTGGAAAGGACTTGGTTCCTGGGCCTCAGAAGTTCCTCTAAGCCACTTCCAAGGAAGAGATGCTCAGCATGCAAACAGAACGTTGGCCTGTGTCTACGGGTGAGAGGAAACCCTCCCCTTCCCCTCCTACAACCCCCAATCTCAAAGCTAGAGGATGGAGCGGAGGGCGGGATGCGGAGCGATTCCTTGTGCCTCCGAAAAAGGACAAGCACCCAGAAAAAACTGGTATTGCGAAGAGATGCGAAGAGTAGCTCGGATCGACTATACGACTAGCTTGAGAGATTGAAACAGCTCGCACCTCATGACTGATAGGGCCGGCGCACTGGAGACCCTGCTCTTGGGGCCCTTAGGCCCCTTCCCCACCCCCTTGCTTGGGCGCCTCCTTGCGCCTCGTTGCTCGCCGGAGGCTCTTAAGTACTAGCTCCTGTGAATAGAGGAGGTCTCTGCAAACAAATGCCGGAAGACGCCAGCCGCCAC